ATTTGTGAAAATTGTGTATACTAAACACGCCTTCTGTCTTTAACTCTGCAATAAATAATATATACAAATATCTAAATTATTTTATATAAACTTTTAATTTTAATAATCGAAATATATAAATATGTTTGGTGGTACAAAGCCTACGTTTGGATCTACCACCACAAACACTGGATTTGGCACATTTAGCAGTACGCCAACAACTGCGCCATTCGGTCAGTCTGCATTTGGAAAACCGGCCACATCAGCTTTTGGCACGACATCAACTTTTGGAGCTCAACAACCCACCACGTCGTTATTTGGTACTAATGCAGCACAACAACAGACGACTGGTTTGTTTGGGGCGTCGAATACATCTTCAGCTTTTGGCGCAACAACAACAACGCAGCCAACTTTCGGTGGTGAGTACATCTTCATATCTTATACATATCATATCTGTTTATCTTATATCTTAAAGTGAATTTATTAAATATTATTTAAATATTCATTGATAGGATTTAGTCAACCGCAGCAAAATACTTCAATATTTGGAACTACACAACCCGCTGCTAACACAAGCTCACTTTTTGGACAGTCTTCAACTTCAGCATTTGGTTCTACAGTTAAACCAAGCGGTTTAGGTGGGTTTGGTCAAACAGCGCAACCTACCTCTTTATTTGGGCAAACTGCACCAAGCACTTCTAGTTTTGGTAGTTTTGGTCAAACAGCACCAGCAAATACAAGTGTATTTGGCAGTACAACAACGAGTGCTTTTGGACAAACTACTGCAGCGGCCGGTGGTGTGAATTCCGGCAGTTCCATCGCAAAATATCAACCAACAATAGGCACTGATACCCTTATGAAAGGTGGCCAACCAAATAATGTTAATACTAAACAACATTGTATAACTGCTATGAAAGAGTATGAAAATAAATCACTTGAAGAATTACGTATGGAAGATTATCTTGCCAATCGAAAAGGACCACAGAGCGGTACTGCACCCGCCGGTGGATTTTTTGGTACAAATACGCAAGGTACACCAAGTACTGGACTTTTCGGTTCAACTACACAACCAACAACTGGTCTTTTCGGGCAACCTGCGGCCGGCGGTGAAAATAAAAATTTATTTGGTACAAGTGCTTTTGGTCAGTCGACAACCTCTGCATTCGGGCAAACACAACCACAGAGCAGCTTTTTGGCTAAACCATTTGGTGCAACCGCGGGTTTTGGTACTACAACTACAGATGCTGCAGCCAATCCCTTTGGTCAAAAGCCTGCTTTTGGAGCTAGTACGACGGGTGGTTTATTTGGACAAACACCCGCAGCTAGTACAGCACCTGCTTTCGGACAGACAACCACTGGATTTGGTGGATTTGGCAGCACTGCTGGTACACAACAAACTTCCTTATTTGGCGCACCAGCTGCAGATGCAAATAAGCCAGCTTTTGGCTTAGGCGCAACATCAACTGCGAACACAGGGTTTGGCGGATTTGGAACACCTGCAACAAGTACAGCTGGAGGAGGACTATTTGGTGCTAAGCCAACTACAGGTACGTATTTGAAAAAAAATATTTAACATAGTGGTTGTTTCACTTTATAAGTTTTTAAGGATTTGGAGCTACAACAGGATTCGGAGCCACATCTACAGCCAATACCGGCTTCAACAATTTTTCAATGAATAATACTGGTGGCGGTTTATTTAATTCAAACCTCAATAAACCGGCCACATCCGCATTCGGCGGCTTCAATACCCAAACATCTGCGGCACCATTGAATTTTAACACAGGATCTACGGGTACTTCACTTTTTGGCAATACTGCTGCTAAACCACTATTTGGCAATACACTTGGAAATACGAGCACGGGCGGAGGAGGTCTTTTTGGTGGAACAACAGCATTCGGTGTTAATAATTCTGTAGGCTTAGGTGGAAGCACACTTGGTGCGAACAATTCTACATTAGGAATTTTAGGCGGAGCTGCACCTCAACAAGCTGTACCTATACATCAACAAATTTTATTGAAGGTTACTTCTCCTTATGGTGATAATCCAATATTTAAGGACCTAAAAAGAACAGACGAGACAGATGCATCGCGACCAACAAATCCTATAGCGCAACAAACGTTACTGGAGTCGAAAAATTCAGATTTCAAAATATCATCGAAAACAAGTCAATTTAGTATAAAAGTTAAACCAGTTGGAAGCGCATTAACGAAAAAGTCACTTTTTGAGGGATTGGAAGAGTATGATTCAAGTGTTGAAAGTTTTAGCTTAAAACCCAATGCTAGACGTTTGATAATTAATCCAAAGCCGAATACTTCAACACCAGAAGCTGCAATAAATAATGAAAGGAAAACTATAGAGAGTCCTTTGCGCCAAATTAATAATTTAACTACTGGTTCAAATGGTAATGAACGTAATGATTCATATTATGCTGATAATGCAGTAACAACACCGACGTCAATTGCGGTTGCTACTAGCACTGCTGTAACAAATGACAACGATGCAAGTCGACGTGAATCGTGGCTGCATCCAAATAATTTGAATAAAGTGCGACAGCAAAATAAGGATGCAGAAAATAACGCAAATCACAACAACACACTTATAGAGTTAATGCCACGTAAACCTATAGAAACGTACCGTCCTGCAAGCAGATTATCAATGTCTACAGTGCCTGAAAATCCTTTTGAAGAAACAAGTGGAACTGTTCGTAGAGACACATTATCATTTACAGATAACAATGAGAGTTTATTTTCGAATCGGTCTTTTGGTCATGATGAACGTTCAATAATAGACAATCAAGAAGACTACGAAGAGCATCCTACCGGTATTACTCTACGCAGAGTTGGGTAAGCATAAAATTTGTTTTAAAGAATAAAATATTAACTTAACGCTATTTAATATTTGTAGATATTACACCATACCACCATTGGAAGAATTGAAGTCATATATATCGGAAGATGGCAGTTGCATTGTACCAAACTTTACAGTTGGTCGGGAAGGTTATGGTAATGTATATTTTGCAAAAGAAATGGATGTGTCTAATTTAAATTTGGATGAAATTGGTAAGCTGTGTAAATAGTTTTTTTAATGCTTATATTCATAATATGTTTTATTTGTAGTACATTTCCGTAACAAGGAAATAATAATATACCCTGACGATGATAATAAACCACAAGTTGGTTACGGTTTAAATCGTGAAGCTCAGGTTACTTTAGATAAAGTTTGGCCACATGATAAAACAAAGCACGAACCCATTAAAGATCCAGAACGTTTATTAGAAATGGATTGGGAGGCAAAATTAAGAAAAGTTTGCGATAAGAACGATACACGCTTTATTGAGTATCGACCAGAAACTGGTAGTTGGGTATTCCGTGTTAAACATTTTTCAAAATATGGTTTAAATGACAGCGATGAAGAAGATGATCCAGTACCGACTGATCCGAAAAAAGCAAAATTAGTGCCAGGTGCAAATCAACAACCTTTAGATAAAACTAAAACAGTGGCAACAAAAAAAGTAAATTTAATTAAAATCTTAATTGCGTAAATTGTTATTTTAACATTGTTTTTATATAAAAAGGTAAATGGTGATGCTACTGGTATTGTCGATCCCAAAAATAATGCATCAGGAGCAACTGCTTATTTTCCTATGGATGAATCCGCAGAATTTATGTTCATGGATAAGACACGTAATTCTCTATTAATGATATAAATAAATATGCAATTATATTTGTTGATTTTCTTTAATTTTAGAATTTCTTCAAAACAATTCCAATGATTATAGTATGTCAATGCAGGATAAAAATGCGAACAAATTCACATATATGAGTCCCACTGCTGCTTTAGCTAAAGAAGCAGGTACCGATGCACATAAAGTACAATTAATGAAAGCATATTTATTCGATGATGACGATGATAAGTCAAGTAAGTATACAAATATTTTTTTATTCAAGTTGTAGAATGTTAATCTTTAAAATTTTTTTAAAACAAAAGTAAGCTACTTCAAAGATTAACTTCCAATTCGTTGACCTTGTGTTTCCAAATAAAGTTGTAGTTTACTGTAAGGTCGTTCTAATTTAAAATATGGCAAGTGCTTTCTTTAGTTTAACTAATTAAATAAAAACTGACAAAAAACCTGAAACTTTAGCATTGAAAGTTTCTGCAGCCTTGGTTACTTGTGGAAAAACACGATTAGTCATTGTTTCTAATTTGACAGGTACGAATTTTAAGCCTGGCAGTTGCAGTCCAAACAAATTATATACGAGCTATAAACTAATTAAGAAATTCGAATATTATCTAAGACCACTGATGATGAGTAGTTGGCAATACTCGGAACAGCGTTGTATGGTCAGCCAAATTTCAATAAATTAAATAAAAATTTTGTCCTTGTTCGACTATGCTTGTACTCTAGTTATATGAATATAACGTGAAACAAATTTTCAAATTATTGTCTTTAGTAATTATTATTGTTTTTATTTTTATTAAAGTCCAACAATTACAGCGAGCTGAATTGATCTAGTGTGTATAGCTTTGTTTCTTAGTATATAAAATTTTATGTTTTTAACTGATTTGACTTAAATAAAGAACTAAGAGAAAAAGCATGATATATCTATATTACATTAAATACATTACACTGTTAACTGTTCATGTAGTGACTATA